GACACAGTGGAGAAGAGAGATTATTATGATGTTTGAATGCAAGTATTGAATCATGGCGGATTAATGTAGTTTGCTGATTGTTAGTTGAATATATTAGTAGGAAATTTTCTCATTACCTGTCACTGTTGCCTCTCGGGACCTTAGGGTCCCGCTGTAAATTCGTAGAAACGAGTGTAAGCCCAATACTAGCCAGCAGAGCTTCCTTTATTCTTGATTTTACTGGGTTCTTCAATACCAAAGACCGCACATGGGAGTTGTCTAGGCTGGTTGATAACACACACTATTTCTTGAGACTTGTGATAATACTTGATGTTATGGGAGGGCTGTAAAAGAGGCATCGATATCCTTGGTTCATAGGCAGAGGGGGCCTGCGTAACACGCGTAGTCTCCGACTTTGAATGGAAAATAATAATTAATTAAACTATAAGCTGAATGCCCCACCTTCGAAACAGATCAATCTATGCCACCCATCAGCGGACGGTTGAAAATACCACGAATGCGAAGCAATAGACTCATTATTCAGTCGGACGAAGAGAGTTGGGATTTTCAGGGACGACATCTGTAGGAATTTCAACTTGCGATTCGACCGATAGTGAGAGGTTCAAACTACTTATGTTTATCAATAACCTTACGTTTCCATCAGTGTTGGCATGTTAAGCCAGGACTTTCTCAATTAACATCGTGGCCTTTAATTTAAACGGTAGCATTAACGAGGGGGCGAGGTGAACAAAATCATTATATGATTTTAACCTGTACACGCAAACTCACAAGCACTCTTACAAGCACTCTTGGTTTAGTGGTAAAATCAGCGCTTCCCATTATCGATTGCGCTGGCCCCGGGTTCAATTCCCGGAGGGTGCAATAATCGCTGGTAATGGAAGACACGAAGCATCGCGAGGGAATAAACAGGCAAGCGGTAACCTGTTGAGCCCATAAAAGCTAATACTGAATTAGCCGTGATGTTAGCTTTTGTTTCGACATCTGAGTTGGGCGAGATAGGTATCCAGTAGTGATTGAAAGCATTTATCACATCTACACACACTCACAGAGTCCACAAAAATTTGGGTGCAGGGAATCACTCGCTGTTAAGTTGGCTCCCTTGAACGAAACGACGCAAAACATACAAGAATTTATAGCCGCTGGGCAAAAGTCGATGAAGAAGCATCTTTGGAGATTTTAGATTTTGCATGATGTGTGGGTCTTCTTCACTACAAGCCAAGGATACTCATACCTCTTTCATGGCCCTCTTACAACAATAACTATCCCAACAGGTCTGTACATAGAATGTGTGTTGTAAAGTAGCCTAGACCAAGTCCCTAGTGCCTTCATTGGTTATGGAGAATTTATCAGTTAGTGGATGAGAAGAGTCTTCTCGATTGGATAAGGCCAATATGTCTCGTGGAGATCTAAAAGCCTACGTCAATTAAACTTGCTTGAACCATATCTTGTCGTTCCGTGCTATTGATTATTTCTTTTCTTTTTATTCACTACATTATTTATTTAACGAGCGCATGATTGATTAGCTCTAAAATAGATGTGAACGAGAAGGGCAAGCCTAGAGGTTAAATCTCGACCGGCTCCACCGGTCCTATATCTGATTAGATTGACAGCTACGGCCTAGGACTTAAAGCTAAAATAAATAAATAAATTGTCGTTCCGACATGAGCACGGGACGGCATGCAGACAAGCGGGGAGAGCTAGGCCTAAAGAAAACTAGCATGGATGAAGTCAATCTAGAATTAATGGCATAATCGCTCCGTGCATAACTGGCGGGACGTAGCATCGAGGACGTGCTGACCAAACCGTTGCGACAGCCGCCACACAATGCATGCACAGACGGCCTCATATCCTGAAGTCAGCCCTACGGAGGGCAAGACTGAACACCTGTACGCGGTATCCTCTACGAACCTGGGAGTGAAATATTCTCCAAGAGCCAAGTTCGCTCAAATTTCGTTACTCCAAAGGAATTGGCCCATGAGGCAATGATTCAAAATACTCCACCACGTCAACTTTTCGCTCCCAACGAGTTTGACTTCTTCCTAAGTCTCATCAAGTCTGCAAGTACGACCTTGTACATCCTTATTCCAATGATCACACCTCTCTTCGACCTTCTCTGGCCTCAGTTGACCATCAAATACACGCCCACGCCGATATTTACACCCGACGGAGGAAGCAGAGCGTGGCGCACAAATCCGAGGGGCAGTTCTTTGGGATGGACGTGAGAGGGATCAGGACAAGTTCACAAGATGACGCAAATGGAAGGATACTATGTCGATGAGCGCGAATATTTGTTTATTGGCAGGAAGTTTTACAAGTTGAGCATTGTGCGCGCCAAGACTTCGCTTGCGAGAGTCGGCTGACACCATAAATACAACTCAACGATAATTAATTGTCATATCTCAATAGCTGAATACAATATGAATTAAAAAAAAAAAGAAAAAAAAACTCAACGATGAAAGGTCCTGTATTCCGCCTTCTTATGGTGTTCTCCGGCATAGTTTGAGTAGGCTGGGTACCTACTCCACTTGGGAATAGGACGCCTCAGACTATAGGTCGCGCGGAGAAAAGTTGAAAGATGATGGAGGCATGTCTTGATAACTCAGGGTTTTTGAGATGTTTCCCTTAGCAGGTATTCATAGACAAGGGCTGACTTGGGGTGAAGGAAAGGCCGCCACTACTTGGCAGTGGTACATGCGAATAAAATCCGAGGCACGAGTGCTCCTTTTCATGCTGAGTCATCTCTCATGTACTTTTTCTCTGATATATTGTGTTATAGTTAGGTAGCTTCATACGCAATTCAAGTATGATGCAAAATGAAAGTAAGCCCTGATAACATCGAGATCACTTTGTAATGAACCAACAGATGTGACATATTTGTTATGCCGATGACGTCGAGGAGATCATGGATGAGTGGATAACATCTATGACGAAGAGTTATATGCGGAACTTGCTCTTGGTGAGGCGTAATCAGCTTCCTCGAGAACTATGCCCTCCGTCATTACAGGAAGGAAAATCTTCATCATTTTAGACATCTAGTAGATGTCTGTTCCATGTTTTCTCAGCTTAAAACTAATTTAGTCGACTTGAGCTAAGTTACATCGCTCCAATCCATATTCCCAGCAAATAAATCCAGTGATGAAAATTGCCTGATTCAGAGTTCGAAGGGATCCAATTAATTGTGGGGTGAGGCCTCTCTATCCTGATGGCACAGCATGCTGAGGAAGGCTGACTCACCAATAGCCAGTATAGCTTACATACCGGTAGGGCTTCATAGCTATGAGCATGGAGTTAATAAGAATTTCGCCATCATGTCATTGATTTATCTAATGGAACTAAGTGGAATCAAGTCGTAGCGGGCAGATTTGAAGATTTTGTGACCGTCTTACTGGTGATGCTCAATTCCGACCCCATTGCTCGTTTATTCCTGTCAGAACTGATAGACAAGCCCGTGTACACTTCACTAGAAAGGGTACCGTCCATGGAAATGGGGCGGAGATCGAAATTAGGGGACGCAAGATGATCAGTTTCAACAGAGACTCTGGACTCAAAGGAAGCGCACGTTCTAAACGAAACATAGTCAGACATCGAGGAAGTCTCCAAATATCCGACCAGCAATATCGGCACAGCGCAATTGATTTCTATGGCATTAAAAAACTTTGCCGCCGGAAGTAATAATATAGTGCGGATTCCGTCCTTTAATACCTGACTTGATGTGAAGGATCTTGCTACCAGAAAACTGCTCAAAACCAAATGTCATCGTCATGACCAGCCTTTTACCTCAAGGCGAAGATCGTGATGACGCAACAGAAAATCATGAATATTTGCGGAGTAAACAGGGACTTGTTGAGACGACGCGATGACATTGGATATTGCTCGGATTTGCAGTTATGGCGTGCGTCGATGGCACGGGGAGGGGGCGAAGTTGCTGCAGACGGATATCTACAGGTGTAGAGCACGCCCGCCTAGCGAAATGCGATGTGGATCAGGGGAGTGGAATCTGCCAGAGCCAATCTCGCCTGGGAAATATTTGTCTCTGGCCCTAGAACCAACTTGTAGACCCGCCATACGTAGCTGCTTCAGCCTTGGGTCGAGCGATCATTCAAGGGGACACGAGTTACTACTGAATTGATTGCAGCGCTTGTTGGCCGGCTGACAAGATGGATGACATTTTGATTTCTGGAGCTTCCTCCGGCCTTAAGCTCGGCGTTTCATTTCGGAGCTGGTCGCTTTTGTTTGGATAATTGCTTCTAATTGAAGGATGCGGTGGGCTTGGTATCAAGTACCTAGGGACAATGATTTACAGGTCTAGTTTACATCTCTTCCTTGCCGTTGAGGCCACAGCGTAGACTGATTCCTTCCCTCGTTTGAGCCTTCTTCTGCTGGAAGACTGTTGTAGTTTAGAATTAATGCCTGATAGGCATAAGGATTCGGTACGGAAGTGAATCAAGCTCTGAAAAATCCATCCTGCCATTATGATTGTGTATGGTTCGAGAATTTTTTTTTGCAACTCAAATCCTCCTGATTCTTTATCCGTAGCCGAAGCAGCCGCCGCAGCAAAGTATCAGGCACAGCTCCAAGCCGATTTCTATAAGCGCGCGCGTTGTCCGGCGATTTTCGCCTATACTGTAACGGTCTCGTCGCAGTCGAGCGTATTCCTAGCAACATCTTGTTTTGGCTTGTGGCACCCTCCCCCTCTACGACCCATAATTAACATCGTCCCAGCATTCATTTAACCCCAAGCTTTCATCTTTCATGCATCAAGGCCATCCCCGTGTCATGAGCCATCAAGTTCCATATGTCATTAATCATTTCATAATTGTTTCTTCAAAATAACCATCTCCTTTTCCATATCATTGGCTAGGCTAGACGCATCCTTCTTTGGCGGGATTGTTTTCACGTCCATCCACCCTAACGCTTCGGACGATTGGCTAAAAAGACTATTCGTCGCAGTATATTAGTTTCAAACACAACTGCTACAGTTACTTACTCTCACAGCCATAATGTCAGCCGTCACAGAAACCCCATCGTCAGAGACCTCCCATCATTCCACAACCACAAAAGCTCGATCTGCCGCTTTACTTAAACAGACTTCTACCCGCTTGCCTGCACCACCTGCTGCCATGACGGGCGCAAATAGCGAGGCGTCATGTCAATTAGTTGGGACTGACACACTAATTGCAGCTCAAGGAACAACATTGAGACCGGGCGCAGGCGCTGCAAAAACAAATGAAATTTCGCCCAGTTCAATCCTTGGTATGGAGACAGATAAAGCGATAAAAACTGTCCAAGATAATGAAAAAGAACATGGAGCTGAGCAATGGCAACTTCAAATGCAAGCCCTTCAGTTGCGGCTCGATCAAGCCCTACTTCAGCACAATCAACTGGAGGAGCGTGTACACGAGAGTGATGAACGCATAGAAAATTTAGAAAATGAGAAACGCGAGGCTCTCAGGCAGAAGAGAGAAATAGAGAATATTTACGAGGCCGAACAAAGCTCAATGATAAAGCAACGAGAAGAATCATCTACCCGCGAAGAAGAAATGCAGGCAATAATCCAAAAACTAAAAGAAACCCTGAATAATCGAGCAGAAGGAGATGAAGACTCGCGAATATCCCGACGATGTATGTAGACTCACGTTTGCTCAGTGGCCTTATACTGACTGAAGTGTGCTAGCTAATAACCAATCGCCCATCCTCGATGGTAATCAGTTTGCTCCCTCAGACTCGAATCGCAGTGATTCTCGTAATAACTCTAAGCTATTGCTACAAAAAGACCGCCTCATTGAGTCATTGCGTCTAGAATTGGCTGAAGCGCAAATTAAGCTGGTAGAGTCTGAAAATATGGGTGGCGGTCGCCTGCAAGAAATCGAAAAACAGTTGCTGGAAGCTCGCATGACAAATGCAAGATTGATGGAAGATAACGAAAGCTATCAACTGCATTTATCAGAAAAGAATATGGGTGTAGATGCTGTAAAAGATGAGCTTACTAGCACCGTCACACACAACCTTGACGCACTGAGTGCCCTAGAAGGTCGGGCTGCACCTTCTAACCTCACCGAAGACCTTTCTGGGTCAAGAGAAGGAGAAAATAGACGCCTAGAAGCAGAGCTAAAATCGTCTCAGGATCAGAATAAAGCCTTAACTCTATATGTGAACAAGATAATCGAACGTCTTGTTCAACATCCAGATTTTGAGACGATCATTGACCAAACCTCAGAATTCAGACCAGGGTTGACCTTTTTAAGTAAAGACTTGCCACCTATTCCACGAGAGACTAATGGAGCTTCTATTCTACAACGTGCAAAGACCGTAGCAATGGGCGGCTCCCGGCGTCAACGACCGCAGTCCTTTATGCCACCATCAACACAGTCCCTGGTTACTGATCAAGGAACGGCCCCAAGTATTCCCTTATCTAACAACCGCGCTAGCAGTTATCGTAGCAGTCGACCCAGAAGCGAACAATTTACGGCAGGTGTGACGACCAGCTTTACACAGCAGATATACCGGAGCGGTCACACATCTCCTCCTCTCGGTCCACAATCACCGCGTCCATCTCCATCACATATCACCTCATCCACACAACATACTCTTCCACACACTGTAAACCGCGCACCATCATCAGGTCAGGTTCCGACGGCAGCAAATTTTTCTGGCATGAGGAGCGAGTGCAGTAGCATCAGTGGTGATAGTGGCGAAATGCAGACTTCGACGAGTAATTCTCCCCCCAGAATAGAAAAGGCCACCACATTTGCTGGTAATAAACCTCGACCATTACGGCTGCTACGTGAAAATACATCTGAAGAGGAAGCGGGACTAAAGAATGCAAAGAGAGCCAGCTGGATGGGGTGGGCATTTGGTAAGAAAGATGAAGCTCATGCAGTGGAAAAGATCCACGTATAATTTTTAGTTAGTTTTCTACGGAAAATTGGTGATCTTCCTGATCAGCAGAATTCTGGAAAAAAGTTAAGTCTTGTCGGAAAATATATTAGGCACCAGGCAGGAAGATTTGCATTGGGAGTTCTTTCAACCGGCAGCGTATAACATGACTCCTAATTCATTGGGCGTCTCGCAATTAATTCAGGATAATCTAGAGGATTTGGAGTTGTAATGTAAATTAGGGATGGGAGAAGCTGTCTTTTCACCTAAGTGGTATCCCTACATAGATTCACTAAGACCAATCAAGTGGCCTTAAACGTATAAGTACTTTGTGTAATCCAAATATAGTGTCTACCCGGTGTGCAAGGCCCGAGTCTTTCAAAGTAATGCAGGGTCTGAACCCGAGGTTTATTTTACGAATCGAAAAGACCCTCATCACAAGACCATTCATGTGACCTGATACATGGTACCTATTCGGCCAAAGACGCCTTAATTCTAGCATAGCGATAGATGTAAGTTGTTTTTCTGCGATAGGCTACAGGTAAGATGGGCTGCAGGTTTTGCCAGTAGAAATGATGCAATTCACAGATATTTTAACTTGGGCAAGGGACGCTGAATGATGCCACACCTGGGATGACACTTCAATTTAGCATCAATGATCCAGCGATAAATTTCACACAAACAGGACACTGGCAGGCTTCTGCGTCTCGAGTTCCGTCACACCTGTATAAAGGGTAGAAGTTAGAGGACTTTCGAGCTGCAGTTCGAGCCTACACGAGTACATCATATCTAAACAAGCGCTAGTGAAACGTTAGGGGTAGCCAGAGGTCGCGGTGGGTGCAGATGGGTTTTATGTTTGTGGCGCGCGCCCGCGAGACGCTAGATAAAATCGCGACGAGCGTGGCGTCGGGCCCGTGGATGAGCTAGCCGCAATGCGGTCTTTTGGCTAGCGTTTCACCCCTTGATTTGACGGCGTTTCAGGAGGGGCTTATCACCTTGACTGACCGCTCGGGCTATGCGGTGTGAACAAGTTATTCTCAGGACCAAGCGAGCCACCACCAGTGCCAGGAAGGAAAAGAGCTCAGCACGTCGTCGCGACACGCCCGGCCCGATGAGACCGATCCTTACGCGGACGCAGCTGTGTTAAGAGGGCCGTAACTCGGGGAGGTGTCTACACTAAATATTTCGATATTTGTGCTTCAATGCGTCGCGGACCACGCCAGCGCCTACCATTCATTGGCTGCTGCGGAGAGCTCCGGTACAACCTTTAAACTTTCTTGGCGCTTGAGCCGTCCCTGTCCCTGTGCGGCTGGTCGTTCTTGCTCCGCTTCTGTCTAGAGAAGCGGTGCCTCTTGAAGTCGGCATTTAAGGGCGTCGACCCCTCTCGTATATCAGCAAACCTCTAGCAGTCTTTCAATAAGAATTATCCTTATTCCACCTTTGCATGGGCCGGATCGCTCTCTACCTGATCTTTCATCTCCCCGCCCCCTACGCATATTGTAGCCGCGTCATTGCTGCGTGAAGGGCTGTCTTCGAAACGTGTAGCTTTTGAAGTAAATCATTTAACGACGTATGGCCTTCTTAGTCCGCCTCGAAGGGCATTAAAAATCTATGTCCCATCTCCGCCGTATCATCTTTGCCGCTGTTCTCGTCCTTGCCGCCTACTTCGGCGGAAAGATAATTTACCGGCATCTTGACCCACGAACGACCATATGCGAAGAAGACATCGAGAATGACCATTGGATTGCGACGTCCAAGTACTGGCTTGATCGACAGGTGTGTTCGCGCCTCGGTCTGTGCGGACTCGCTCATTGGCGTCCGGATCCAGCAACTATACCATGGACTCGGAAGTTTGAGGTAAAAAATTATTGGCAGAAAGACGGGATTGAGGAGGCTAGTCAAAATATACTCAAGGAAGAATCACAGGAAGGTATTCCTAGCTTGGGAAGTCCGATTAAGTCGGAAGATGAAGATGTGGATGGAGATTCTTCTGTATTGAAAGATATCCCCCAATACATACTCGATCACGCACCGCTCATCCATCTCTACTCGGGTGAAAATTTTTGGCCCTCAGACATAGCCGAACATCTCAAGTTTACTACGCCATATCTAAACTATACTAAGGTAAATATTTCTACTCATCAACACACGCCTTACAATCTACACGAGGTAGAAAAGGTGTATAACAGCAGCTACTTATTCACACAAAGCACGGATGATGTTGAAGAGCGGCCAGTCTGGCTTGGTAGCGCTCATAACAAACCGCTACCTTACGACGATGAAGAGGGTGGGGACTGGGAAGAGGAAAAAGAACGGAAATCTACCAATCTAGAAACTGCGACATTCTCCAATGGAGATGGAGAAACGTGGTATGACGTTTCGCGTCTTGATCCAGCCTTAACAGAGGTGGCCTTTGTGAATGACTCTCATTCTCCTTCTCCTGAGAAAGTTGAAATGCGCAGATCGCGTACACGCAAGTCACAGCACGCCGAAACGTGTTCTAGTATTACTTCGACAGCTTTCAAGCTGGGGGGCTATTCCAGCGCCCCTAGTATTCTTGTAGTCGTAGATAAAGGTTTGGGTATCGTGGACGCCTTCTGGTTCTACTTCTACTCTTATAACTTTGGAACGACCGTTTTTAACATTCGTTTTGGCAACCATATAGGTGATTGGGAACATTCATTAATACGCTTTCAAGATGGGGTACCGAAGGCAGTATTTTTTTCTGCTCATTCAGGAGGTCTTGCCTATGCTTGGAAGGCAGTTGAAAAGGCAAAAGGTAGGGAGAAAAGGCCTATTCTCTACAGTGCTGTTGGCAGTCATGCCATGTACCCGACGGCCGGAAGACATCCCTATATTTTGCCTTTTGGATTGCTCGCTGATTTGACTGATCGTGGACCACTCTGGGACCCAGCACTAAATTATATGGCCTATCATTATAACACCTCTATAACTCACAATGTCGACGCGCGCTCTAGCAGAGATTCTACACCCACTTTTAACTCAACCTCACTTCATCCTAAATTAAATGCCTCATTTCAACCAGCTTCTTGCAATCCTTCTGCTCCTCTCGGATGGTGGTGGTACTCTGGGCGCTGGGGTGATAAGTTCTATCGTTTACGGGACTGGAGACAGTGGCGTTTTTTTGGTCAATACCATTATGTCAATGGACCTTTTGGACCTCGCTTCAAGAATCTGGGGCGAGCAAAAGTTTGCCAGAGTGGTCATGTTTGCCGAATAGTTGAAGACCTAACTGATGGAAGAAGCTGGGTTGGATGATAGATTGGTAAGCCTTTGTCACATTTGGATATCCCTCGTTTCTCCAGAGTTCGTTCATTCAAATGTCTGTTAAGGCTACATACGTGCATCAACTTGGCAATATCGGCTTGATCGGGTAATGAAAAAATTGCTCCAGTGAGATCATGTGGAATTAGATGGATATGACCGAAATGTACCGAAAGTAATCATACAATTTTTCGTAGGCTTCTCCATGTAATGCAGGTTATCGACGGGTAGCCAGATAAATAGAACGGACAGATAGGATAATGGAAAAATTAAGACAAAACTGAGCATAAAATATAAGATGTTCTACCTTTAAAGGTGCTAGACTATACCAGACTGCGGCACAGTAGAACTTGAGTCTTACTTTTTTCCGAGCCATACTACATGGCGTTTAAGTTTGTAGATCAAAGTAGATGTGCTACAATGGTCTATCTAAGGGTGACGAAAATCTCGCCGGTACGAAATAAGGCAAACTGCACCCATTTTTCAAGCCTCAATTCCTTGTTGATTCTACTCAGCTATCGTGACGTAAATGTAAAATAAAAAACTTTCATTTTATTGTCCTGTCTGAGTCTATGACTATGTAGGCATCATAAATAACTTTAGACCCGCATACAGCACCTGAGATCTTCGTGTACCGGGGGGACTATTCTCAACACCTGTCAGTGGTGTCCCCTACAAACCTCCAGCTCTCACTGTAGAGTCTGCAGAGCCGAGATTGAGCAACAAAGTCCTCACTTCGACGAGGATTTCCAATCGCTTTCGCGGTCTATATCGTCTTCATCTCAAAACACAAACTCCCTATCACCACTTTCATGAAGCTAACCACCATCAGATCAGATGGTAGGGTCGGAGCACTACTCATCACCGACCCTTAATCATGGAGGAGAAGCCATCCGATGAGTTTCCGGAGCGTACCTAGCACCCGATACGGGATGGTGGATTGGATCAGGATGGCCTCTAATTTTACAAATAGAAGAGATATAGATAGATATGCGCACCTCATGTAGTCCCGGTGTCTAGGCCTCACCTGGCTGGGGCTGCAGGTTTTTTGGAGACTTTTTCCGGCGCACGCAGTTTCCGTTGCTACCATTTTTATTTTTTTGGGTAGAAGGTTTCGTGGAAAAGGTGGCCGAATTTCACGGGTAAACACTCAGCTGAATGGCTATTCATCACGGGCAAAATATCAATGACCTTTCAAGTAACTTGAGAGGCAAGGAGCACTTTACAAGGTGTGGCCTGGGTCAAAGAGGAGCCCATTGTGCCAGATAGTCTACGACTTAAGTAGCACAATAAAAAGCATCTCTCACTCTTCATGTCCAGGTCTTTTCAAATAATTTAATGTATATTCTGCTAAGAAAATTTAACACGCAACCAGTGTCTTGGACCCATGTTGGAAGATTCTCAAGTTGAACGGCCTACTACTCTGGATTTAAATCGCAAGACCACAATGAGATATGTTTGCTTACGGAAAACCGTCGAACCTTAATGAGTATCCGTCAAAAAGACCAAAGAGCCCTTTCATTGTCTAAGAATGCCAGCGACGAAGTAGATGTGATTGATTCAAGATTAGTAACAGACAGCTCCTCTCTCGACTGTGGTGTGCGTCCAGAACATTTAGACCTTACACGCCCACGCCGATATTTATACCCGACGGAGGAAGGAAAGCGTGGCGCACAAATCTGGGAGACAGTTCTTTGGGATGGATGTGAGAGGGATCTGGACAAGTTGACAATATGATGCGAAGGACGGATATAACCTCGAAGGGCATGAGATTCCGAATTTTGGCAAGGAGTTTTTCGAATTGGGCTTTGTGCGCGCCAAGACTTCGCTTGCGAGAGTGCAGCTGACACTCTAAAAACAAGCAAACGATGGAAGGTGTTGTGGTCCGCCTCCTGGTGATGTTCTCCGGTATGGTTTGAGTAGCCTGGGCACCTACTCCACTTGGGAAGGAGATATCTCAGACCATATTTCGCGCGGAGAAAAGTTGAAAGATGATGGAGGCATGTCTGGATAACTCAGGGTTTTTGAGACGTTCCCCTGGGTGGGTATTCACGGATGAGGGTTGACTTGGGGTGAAGAAAAAGCCACCATAACTTCGCAGTGGTACTTGCAAATGAAATCTGAGGCATGAGTGCTCTTCCTTAACGATGAATCATCTATTCTGTACTTTTCTTTGATATTGTGTCATAGCTAGATAGCTGCATATGCAATTAAAATCTGATGCAAAAAAAAAAAAGATCATTTAGACTATTCTTCAGAGGTTAGTCCGGATATCATACCATCGCACTAACAAACCTTTGCAGTCTTATCAAATATGCACCATTCACTATAATTTAAAGCCTTTTTTTTTTGCATCAGATTCGAATGAAGCATGCAGCCAGCAATGTATGAGATAATATCAGAGACATGGTACATGTTGGAGGAGGGTGAGGTCTGAACACCTTTCAGTTGTGTCATCTACGAATCTAGGAATGAAAAATTCTTCCGGAGCCAAGTTCAGTCAAATTTCGCGATGCCAATGAAGTTGGCACACGAGGCAGTGATTTAACAATCCATCATGTCAATATTTCACTTCTAACGAGATCGATCTCTATCTAGGCTCCAAGTCTATAAGTACGACCAAGTACATCCTCATTCCAATGATCACACCTCTCGTAAACTTTCTCTGGCCTCAACTGGTCACCGAATACACGCCCACGTCGGTGTTTATACCCGACGGAGGAAGCAAAGCGTGGCGCACAAAGCTGGGAGACAGTTCTTTGAGATGGATGTGAGAGGGATCAGGACAAGTTCATGAGATGATGCAAAGGAAAGATATAACGTCGAGGGGCGTGAAATTCCGAAGTTTGGCGAGGAAATTTACGAACTGGGCTTTGTGCGCGCCAAGACTTCGCTTGCGAGAGTCGGCTGACACCATAAATACAACTCAACGATAATTAATTGTCATAACTTAATAGCTGAATACAATATGAATTAAAAAAAAAAAGAAAAAAAAACTCAACGATGAAAGGTCCTGTATTCCGCCTTCTTATGGTGTTCTCCGGCATAGTTTGAGTAGGCTGGGTACCTACTCCACTTGGGAATAGGACGCCTCAGACTATAGGTCGCGCGGAGAAAAGTTGAAAGATGATGGAGGCATGTCTTGATAACTCAGGGTTTTTGAGATGTTTCCCTTAGCAGGTATTCATAGACAAGGGCTGACTTGGGGTGAAGGAAAGGCCGCCACTACTTGGCAGTGGTACTTGCAAATGAAATCTGAGGCATGAGTACTCTTCCTATACGTTGAATCATCTATTCTGTGCTTTTCTTTGATATTGTGTCATAGCTAGATAGCTGCATACGCAATTAAAATCTGATGCAAAAAAAAAATACTTGGCAGTGGTACATGCGAATAAAATCCGAGGCACGAGTGCTTCTTTTCATGCTGAGTCATCTCTCATGTACTTTTTTACTGCCAGTATGTCATAGCTAGCAAGCTGCATATGGAAATGAAATCTGATCCAGAAAGGCATACATCTCCTGCCTCGGTGTTGGCGTAGCAAATACTAGGTTCATAGCCCTCTCCCACAATCAGAGCATTAGAAGAAGTCTGAAGTTTAGATACTTTATTTTGGGCAGTAGGTGGCCTATAGGCCTCCACGATCAGGGATGTGGCAGCGTTGGGGTGAGACTGGGGAGATGGACGGGATTTAAACTTTCAAAGATGGAGAGGTTTTTAAATACTAAAGCAGAAGCTAAAACGAAGGGATCTTAAATGGTAGCTCGACGAGGTCTCCATTGGAGATGACGCCGTGGATGAAACGAGGACACGCTGGAAATAAGATAAGGCCTTCATTAAGATGGGAGGAAGAAATGAGGATGAGGAAAGTGAAATTGATCTGAGCGAGAGTTGTCCGGACCAGGAGAGGAATTCGAGTTTCTGCGCGTCAAAATTGGGTTCTCTGGACGACTAGATTCGGCATCACTCAGAGTAGGTGAAGCCTGAGGTGGGTCGACATTCGTGTATTTCATCTTAATTATTTAATCCAGCCCGGCCCCACCTTTCCTCAAGCTCCTATAATGTGCTAGATAGTCTAAGGCTCAAGTAGTAGAATAAATATACCTCTCTCTATTTCAAGGTCCTGTAGGAGTGCGGAGGATACTTGACCCACCACGTTAATACACAAACAATTAACATTAAGAACTGAAAGCTTTGTCACAAATATCAACAATACTGATGATGTACATTAACATTTGAAAATTGCTTATGTGTGCTTGGAAAGCCGACGTTCATATATGAAGGTCGGTTCTTGGATGAGATAATGGGTGTATATGGGCTTTCTAATCGAGGACTAGTGACAATCTTACCGGACGACCGAGGCTCATGGGTCTTGTAACTAAAAAACAGTGGTGTTTAAATTTTTGTGCTCGGCTGTATTCAGTCCGTGCCCTAAGCTGCATGCCGATATACGTCCGCTTAATCTGCTCGCTAGTCTCGGAACCCCTTATATGCGGTCAACCAGCTTCTGTTTACCAAGACATGACGCAGTATATCATTAAAAGTTCAAGCTCATGATTATCAAGGACAACTGTGCTGAGAAGGCATCTCTGTAGTGTCCAAAAGATTGACGCTTTATCTACAGGTCTTGTAGCTACGAGTTATCGAGCCAGGCACCCCCCGAATGACAATTGCAAACTAACCCGTTTAGGGCTAGTTTGGGAAACAATCTATCATGTCTAAGTGAGCGTTGCCCATGTCAACTTATGTTCACTCGGACAACCCCCGAATTCCGCTCATTCCACATATCATTCTTATCAACGCGAATCAGCAGATCCCTTAGGGTCGGCGTACCACTCTTTCACTTGTTTTATCCATGCTCGTCTGTTTAATTTTCATGTACATTCATCTCTGACGCCAGGGGCACCCAAGTCACTACTAGTTCAGTCTCAGAACTCTAGCTTTTCCGCAGACCTACTTGTGGAGGATTGAATACAGTTTCAGAAGGTCAAGGTCTCACTACTGCCCGCATCCTCTTCCGTTGCTCTCAACACGCCCTATCCTGACATTTTGGAGGAGTAACGAAGAGAGAGAAGCGTCGAGGTATCTTCCAGAGCTTGAGCACCACCTACCACTGGTTTCAGAACTCAAGCACTCCGATTACTAGCCAGCGTCGTCCAGCTCGCCATGCTGTACCGTAGAGCGCATATCTTAGTGTCCGCGGCCACATACTTCGCTGCAGTGAGCCCATCAATCCAACAAAACCTTCCTGAGCTGGTTTCTTCAACAACCGCCAACAAAGATACAGATGCCAAACCATCCGCAACCGAAGCACCTCCACAAGCACCGCCCACTCCCGCCGATTCTAAAATCGAAACGAGCACTACTACAGACTCAGTCACACCGACGTCCAGCTCTCCAACTCACGATGAGGGTGCCCTGACTGGCTTGCCAACGCTGACAGGCGGCTATACCATCGTCGAACCGTCAGTGCCGCCCACACAAAATGCCACATACATGCAGCAAAGCACGCTACCAGAGGGAACGGTATTTATCGTTGTAGGAGCCATCCTCGGAATCCTCGCGCTGGCCGTGCTGATTTGGCGTATGAGCGTTGCGTGGTGTCTCCATCGATCGGTGAGGAAGGCAGCCCTAAACCAAGGTATGGTTGATACCAAGGCACTATACCGTGCAACCAATGCGCCCGTTGCACCATTCTACAAGTACTCGGACGGGGATTCGTCCATCTCTCTCTCGGGAATCGGCGCCAAGACGGTCAAGAAGAGCAGTCGATCTGGCCCACCGACAGCCTCAGTTAGCAATACGAACCTCTTTTACTCGCCGACTGCCGGCGCCACGGGAAGTGGGCTCGGCGGCGCTTCGAACCGTGGCTCCAGCTACTTCCCCGCTGGATATTACGCTTCAGGAACCTCCAATTCCATCACGGGCTCTGGTCACGCCACGACGGGCCCGGCCATCTCCCTGTCGAACCTCAGTGCCAATTCTCAGGCCTACAGTCGTTCACGTAGTCTAGAACACAGTCCACCCGACTCGCCCCGCACCCACAACGACTGCAGTCGAAGCCAGATTGCCAGCTCGAGCACCTTGAACCTCAACCAAACCTATGGTGGCCACGAGAGGGCACCTAGTGCTTACCTCGAAGATCTCTTTGACTCCGAAAACCTTCCTTCGTTTCGGATCCCCGCCCACCATCGCCAGCAGTCCGAGACTTCCGGAGGTTTGAGGAGCACATAATAAAACACCAAGATATACATCATATATGGGCAGCCCTCGCATACACCATGTCGCTATTCTTCAAACAACTCGGACGAATAGTTCCCCATGTCAAAAGCGAGTGTAAAAGACCCTCATACGTGCGTCTTACAAATTAGGCTTGCCAATAGATCTTGGCCAGCATGAAAAGTGAACGGAACATTATGCAACAAAGCTTTTAGTAACAGGCTTTGCCACAGCATTTATGATGAATGGTAACATGGCAGGACGGAGAAATAAGCTAATTTTGTCTTACGTAATATTTTCATGGTTCTCGTTGGGATACTGGCTGCATTGAAGGTTTTTTTCGGGGGTTATTAATGAGGAATGAAATAGTACTAATAATAGTATTTTGGTGACTATATACTACAGCTCATTGACTCTGTCTACTAAAAATGGAAATATCAAGTAGTTTTCATGCCGCACCGCTATATTCTTGCTTATTTTTCCTACGTAGACTGTCCCTTAAGTTCAGGAAAGCCACCCGCTTTATAACTCAAATTGCTTACAGTGTGAACCGTAATATTTAGATAAATCTGAATGTTGGATAATAATTAAGAAAGACTGCGCAGATAATCTGGGCCAATGATAAGTTTTTTGAAGGTTCTATATATCTAGGTCTTTTGGACGGGGACTATCTTCGATCTCTTTGACCAATTGCCGCACACCTGCGTTCATTTGAAAGCTTAGGCGTATTAATTCAATGATCTCATCTGCGCAGAAGTAGAGACTAAGGTCACTTTCGAACCAGAGAAACTTGATATCCTTCAAGTTACTCTGAAGAACTTCACTGAGAAATTTCATACGCATCCATTGGTCTGCAAATTGTGACGTTTGGGGGATCGGACTTCCGTAGGGAGCTGTTTCTGGCATATCCGGTAATTCAGAAATTAAGAAAAGATCATCGAGTTCTTCAACCCTAGATAACGTGGTGGCGATATGTTCTGCCTCTTCAACCCCTATATCAGGCATATCAAAGACATCACTGATAAGCTTTGTAGCTATCGTATTGATGAGAGAACCTGTTGCTGAATTTCTAGCTGAAGGCGGTAAAATGTTATCCCACAGTGCAGCTTGTTGACGAATATGATGAGTAGCGGAGTATATACTCTTCTCGACTACATCCCTAGGCGAATTTTCTTGTTGAAAGATATTTTGGGTGTCTGAGCGAAGAAATGATCAATCAGTACTTTATTTTGTGTTGGAGAAAAGGGGATTGAAATTCACACCTCCGAGTAGATCATTAATTATACACTTTTGAGAATTTAGTTCATTCTTGTATGCCCGCTTCCCAAACTGTTCGACTCTGACAACTTCTTCCATGATTTTGTCGGCGCTACGAATTGAGAACGGAATTTCAGACCACCGCTTCCACGTTGACACAAAAGCCCGTATATTTTCAGCTAGCCAAGTACAATCGTTGTAGCAGTACCTGAAATAATGATTAGAAACTATTTCGTTGAGCATATCATGAATCCCTACATGCTTCCAGCAGGCTGATGGGCATAACAAGCAGATGATGCCGCACGATAAATGACTAAAATTTGGATTGATAGATTCAGCAACCCAGACGCACATTCGGCTAAGGGATTCTCAATATTTCTGAAAAAAATCAGCTTAGGAAGGGACGGTTGGGTTATATCATTTATACGTTGGTAGGTTGAGATCGGCAAAATCCTCGAATGTTTCAATAACTGTTTTTAGAACTACTTGGGGTAAGGCAGAAATCCAATAATTTTCATTTCCTCTTAATTTTTGCTTATCCTGGAAGTAGTTCAATGAGGATGCAGCACTTGTGGACCCTAACTGTGACGCGTGGTTTTCTACCCTGTCTTTCCTTATTTCAGGACTTTTATCTTCTATTGTTTCTTCACCCCAGCCCCAGGCATCGACTACTTCGTCTTCTAAGTCATCGTCTATCGAATTTGAGTTCGGATACTCTCGATCCTATGATGGTTTTAGCTTCAAATTTGAGTATGATTTACATCAAACATGGAAAAGAAAATTGCCAGTGGAAGGAATGAGAGTTATCTATGCTGCTAGACTTTGTTTTAAGATATCATGATTATTTGGGTTCACTTACTTGTGTCTCAGATAAAAGATCCTCATCTCCATCCCAAGCTGCATCCCAATCTTGTGAGACCATTTCGTTTTTTGAATCAAGACCAGGATTTTCGTTCTGCTGATTGCTAGATTCTTTTGCTTTTTCTACTAGTATCGGAACACCTATTCCCATGAGTACTTGCCTTCTAATCTGGTCCAAAATATATCCTCTCCGCTTGTCTAACCATATTTTTGGGAAGTTATCTACCCATCGTTCGAACTCGTCTAATCCTACTTAAGTTTTTAGTTGTATTCTTTGCGGTATATTATTGGAGATGTACCAGTCCAGTGAATGGATTTCATATTCGTAATGAACACTTTAGCTTGTTCTATGATCTTATTGAATCCTTTCACTTCATCGAGGGAACTAGGTATAGCTTGGTCCAGGAATTCGGTCAGGATCCGTAGTGAAAGGGTACAAGTCAAAGATTCGAAAAGAGGTTCTTTTACACTTGTCGGGAGTACAAGTATAAGAAATCTTACGAGTGTTTCTATCTCGGCCAAAATACTTTCGATCCCATCGTCTGATACTGATTCCAGGGTTATTGAGTTCTGAATTTATCAGTATTCATCAAGATTTAGAGGCCATATGCTCACACTCCTAACTGCTATGGAGTATTTCCCGTCTTTTCTAGTCGTTCGGGGCTTGATAATGAGATTGTCTAAGTCGTCGCGTAGTTTCTCGGAAATTTTGACTGCATATCCCAACGACTCTAGACAGTCAACAACTTCTTCGAGTTTGAGTTTCTCCGCTGTAAAACTGTCAGTGAAAAGCTGTCAGTCGTATGTTGATCTAGGTGTTTGATTGGAATTATTACTCGGAAGACTTTTGTTCACTCTAATAGTTTTACTTCGTTTTTCAATTGCTACAAACGCTGCCCATAGACTCAGAAGTCCGTTATTTATTTGTTCTTGCAACGCGACGATCTTGAGATCGAGCACTTGTAAAGCTTTTATTGGTCCGTTCTGTTTGATATCCCTGTATGACTTGCGTGCCGCTGAGAAGTTAGAAAAGATCCCATAAGCTTTGGTGACATACAATCTAGTGTCAGGAGACTTTTGGCCCATTCCCTGTCAATTATAAATTTTTCTGTCAGTTCCACATTGTGATGGCAACTGCGAATTTGCCTTAAATCAGACAAAAGATTGGTATTGTACTTTAATTCATCTTGAACGAATGAAAGATTCATATTCTTTTCTTGTGTGGCTTTCTCAAACCGTTCATCTTCCTCTGCAAGGAGGATAATCTTATTGGCAATATTTCTAGATTTACTTGTATCTTCTTGTATCTTCCGCAATGATTCTATCCATGCCTTGAATTCTGTCGAGTTATCGTGGCCAAGTTTTATTATCTCCGCCTATAAACAGAGGAACTATCAGCACTAATCTTTGGACTGAGGTATGGTCTGAGTTGTTTGACCTGGAGTTCAGCTTTCGCCATAGAAAGTGCCGGTATAGCTTCAGAGATGGTGGATCGATCGAGAGGGGTAGATAGAATAGCATCATCAATTGGGAAGACACCCTCGATAGAGTGTTTCACCAAGATAGATCCTAAATGATCTCGCGGGGCATGAGAGGCCATAATAGGTCCTCTTTCAATGAGGGGCAGGCTCAATCCTGTTTGTGAAGGTTAGTAGCTAGAGCCTAAGTATCTGAATTAATTTGGCTGTAGTGCGATTGTGCTCATTCCTTGAACTCCCAGGAACCTGCGGCACCATACATTACCCTCGTGTACATTCATACCACGTGATTTTTACTCGCGATACATAACTAAGCAACCTGTTTGTTCCTCAGCAAGAGGGCCAGGACTGAACACCTGTTAGTGGTATCCCCTACAAACCTCCAGCTCTCACTGAAGAGTCTGCAGAGCCGAGATTGAGCAACAAAGTCCTCACTTCGACGAGGATTTCCAATCGCTTTCGCGGTCTATATCGTCTTCATCTCAAAACACAAACTCCCTATCACCACTTTCATGAAGCTAACCACCATCAGATCAGATGGTAGGGTCGGAGCACTACTCATCACCGACCCTTAATCATGGAGGAGAAGCCATCCGATGAGTTTCCGGAGCGTACCTAGCACCCGATACGGGATGGTGGATTGGATCAGGATGGCCTCTAATTTTACAAATAGAAGAGATATAGATAGATATGCGCACCTCATGTAGTCCCGGTGTCTAGGCCTCACCTGGCTGGGGCTGCAGGTTTTTTGGAGACTTTTTCCGGCGCACGCAGTTTCCGTTGCTACCATTTTTATTTTTTTGGGTAGAAGGTTTCGTGGAAAAGGTGGCCGAATTTCACGGGTAAACACTCAGCTGAATGGCTATTCATCACGGGCAAAATATCAATGACCTTTCAAGTAACTTGAGAGGCAAGGAGCACTTTACAAGGTGTGGCCTGGGTCAAAGAGGAGCCCATTGTACCAGATATTCTGTGACTCAAGAAGTACAATAAAGCACCACACTACCACAATGATTTCCTTATCAACTTTAAACTTGATGTCGACTCTGTACATGTACGTCTATTATCATAGACATTGGAGGTAATTCATGAGATTGTTTAATGAGAGGCTAGGATTGATTCCAATATTATTCAGTAGGAAAGTTATCCCAACTATCAGAGGGCTACAATATTTGAACTCGGATTCGAAATCTTTAACGTGACAGGGAAGAATTCGACATCTATTTAGACGTGACACGGGTAGATGGGCTCTGAGAGCTCATTGCCACCTACGTGACCGACAGTGAAGTCAGAAGCGACATGGGAAATAGGAAAAAAAAGGTACAGTAAATGTCTGAGTTACAGTGTCCTGCGCCGCATCCCTATCTTCCAAACCCCATTTCCTCTCGAGTTAGAAACAATATCAGCATGGTCGCCTGCCACTCTGTTCATTCTTCGGCAGACTGTAACATCTGCTTGTGGTTAAGAATTGGATGAACTTTTGCCATCCCTTCTCCCTCATCATTTCCCTGGCCTCAGGTGGGGCCATTTTCCCACAGCTTCTCCAACGTTGCAAAGCAGGTCGGCACTTTGAAAAATGACAGGGCCTTTTGTCTCGGCCACAAATGCATTTCAGATCATTATGGTCGGGCTTGAAATGTCGATAATACTCGGCGTAGTCCCCGTGGTCTGTTCTTGCCGCAATAAGACGATGGTACGCCCATCTCGGTAGAGCCAGTTCCGGTGGTCTTTTGAAACGCATGAATAGGTCCAGATCTTGGTATCGTTTCGGTCGATACTTCTGCCACCATTCTTCCACGAGCTCTTGGCTGCGCTGTTTAACCCACCTCCCTAATACCGTAGAGGTTAGATTTTGATCTTTTCCAGTGAGCGCAGCTGAGGTTAGTGACCGGTTGTTGAGAGCTCCCAAGGCTGATTTGGCCTGCTTAACTGCCTCTTAATTGCCTTGGATCCCACATGAATAGGTATCCAGCGTATTTCCACACGCTTTTTCTATCTCAGCGACGAAAACTTGTCCACCACCACCTGCGAGGAATTAAATCTTCCTTTTTCAAGCACCCGGGTGGCCGCTTAATTATCCAGAAGAATGCAAATCGGCAGGTCATCTCCCACTGTTAATACGGCCTCCAAGGCTTTCGTGGAGTCTACAACTTCCGCGTCGAATACCTCTGATCTGGGAATTGGACCGGAACCACTCCCAACTAGCTTACATCCTTGGTATACTACATACCTCCAGGCTGAATGTCCGGGACCCGATGAAGATCTATTAGAGAAAGCGTAGACTGTGTTAGCTGAAAGGGAAGCTAGCCATCACTTTATGCTTCTAGACCTAGTTTCTTTTTCTCGACCATATGGAGTCGATGCTGGGGTGCCACGTTGGAAGTACAGCTTTCTAAGGCCTTTAGCTCTCGGAACTTGACGCACACTCATTTGCATACGTGTCATGTACCATTCTGGCTGTCTGAACAAGCGATATCTTTATCCCGATCTAAGACCTAAGCGTCTTATTGTCTCTTTCGGGTCCTCAGCCTCCAGAAGAGCGAGAGGTTGCCAGACATCCACTCTTCGCATACGAGCTGCAGATAGCAGCATCTTTTGTTGGAGAATAATTGATGCCGGAGGCATTCAAGCTTCACGGTAAAGAGAGCTATTGGGAGTGGTACGCCACGCTGGGAGTGATACTCGGATAGCTTTCATTAACGTTTTGTCCAACAGAGATATGTGGCAGTCAACTCTAGTGCCGGATTCTTTATCTAGCAGTAAGGTTATTCGAGTGAGACCTGGCCACTGCGCTTCTGCCCCATATAGAGCTGTGTTCAAAACGAATGCATGTACTACACAAATCAAAGGTCCAGGTGCTGCACCGCGTTGAATTCCGTTTATATGTCGTAAGAGATGGAATAGACGATTAGCCTTTCCAGTCCATTCCTATACATGCTGCTTGAAGTTCACCTGAGTGTCAAACCAGACTCCTAGCCACAGGATATGAGATGACGGCTCTATCCGGCAATCTTTTACCAAGATAGAAATGTCAGCCGTGTTGATTTTCTTTTTAGGGCCCTCCTCCTGTCACTAGAAGTTCTGACTTTCCTGGGTCAAAATCGATTCTGTGTTCACTTGTGAGAAGGATAAAGCTATCGAGGTCATCTTGGGCTGTGGAGATGGCATCCGCCGCAGTGTTTCCAATTCTAACAATAGCTACATCATCAGCATAACCAAACCTGCTCGTTAAACCATGATCCTCAAATAGCACAGCGATGTAGAGCATGAAAAGAAGTGGCGAAAGTGGCGAAAGTGGCGAGCCCTGAGGTACTCCATATTCCAGTATCTTCTCTTCTGTGATCCCAACGCGGTATTTCACCTGGACTTTTCGTTGACAAAGAAATGTCAGAGTAAACTAGCACAGGGATCGTGGCCAGCCTTGTTCTTGAAGGCGTTTGAGCAGTCAGTCGTGAAGGACTGCATCAAATGCACCTTGAATGTCAAGTGTGACCGTAGCCGCACACTTACCACTTTTTATGGCCGCCTCAGCATCATGTATTATACAGGATGCAAGGTCGACTGCAGATCGCCCTGGTACGGAACCGAAGAATTGTGGGTGAAAGACTTGGTGACTATGTGGTTATGAGCTTAGGTTAGTATCACTATGCGTGCTGACCTTGTACGAGTATGTAGTTGGATGAGTTCAGGTTGTAGTTGAAGTTGTATCTAAGGTTTACTTTACTTGATTGTTCGATACTAATCGTGTGCCGAGCACTCGCTACTTATACTCATGTGCCGCTGCTAGTCGGCTCCTGACCACATGAGCTTCCTCCTGCAGATACCCCAAACGATACAGGAACTACGAAAACAGCGTAAATGTCACAGTCTAAGCATAGGCACTTGGGCAACCTTGTGGTCAGAGGTAGTTTTAATTTCAATCTATGATGAACTACAGATTGAAGAGGATAATAACATTTACTTTACACATGATTATTATCCCAACCAATGACATATATTTCTATCCGTATCCCCTACTCTTATTCCCTACTCGTATCACATTCTCGTGCCTCATTCCCGGACGTGTTACAATATTAGTATTGACACTTATAAGCCTCTCCTTCTGAGAATAGGCTCCTCCTTGTTTCTTGCTAAGCCTGCGTTAGACACCGCAGGCTACAGGCAATTACTGGCTTACAAGCCGTCACAGTAAACATCTAATCAAGTTATGTACATGCAAGTATTCTAGCTGAATAACATGCCCATCACAGCAGTGACTTATTGTCAGCCATGCCATTTTATTATCAACTGGACGCTCGAGCCCTTTGCCTAAACTCGACAACAGCGAGATTGGTCGCCAACCTTTAGCAGTCGACAGATTTCTACCCGGCTTTGGAAGAAGCACAACTTATGTCACCCTGAAAGCCGTGGGAAAGTAGCCGATTTTCAGACAAGCCTGGTAAAGATCTTATACGAGAGGTCCTAGATGGGACCAACAGGCTTTCAGTGACCGTACCGTTATCTTGTTCGCTCCCGGTGCCGTATCCTTGACAGAGATAGTGGCGCTTGTCACATCGTCCTGTGATATTTCCGTATCCCATGGAATACGCTCCTCCTGTCCATTGTCCCAGGTAGGGATATCGTTCTCGCCGCTAAACCTAGCCGAGAGAATATCTCGTAGCGCACTAGCTCGCTCTCACGGGTCAGATAGCCACCGGTTTTCGTCAATCTGCAGAGGAGGGAGGACAGCAGCTGGTCGAGGCTTAGCCCATCTTACAAGCTTGAATACCTGTGCGTCAGTAGTAACTGCCTCCATTTGCCTCTTCCAGTACTCTCGCTTGGCTTTTCGCACCACGACTCTAAAGCTTTTTCGGGACTCTTTTGCGAGGTACAGGTTATCTCTCGCTACCTTACACTCCCGCTATTCTATGCAAAATTCATCGCTCCACCATAGCTTGGTTTTTCCGCTTTCGATGGCTGAGACTTTCCCTGCGATATTCAGAGTATCTCCAGGTACTTGTAGGAGATCATTCGTAAAATTTTCGGTGTTGATGACACTGTCAAGAAGGCCAGGTTTGGTCCATTGGCTAATGCATCAGATATATTCCTTTAATATGGCATCGCTGACACAAATGTTTCCTAC